AGCCTGCCCTTCCAGGCTTGTGTGGCCTTCCGCATAGCTACCTCAGTGCTATTGTGGCAGAGCTAAAGGCAACACAGGGTGGCATCGTTTCCCACCTTCCATCTCCCACCAGCGCCCCCCATAGGCAGATGTCCCACACAGCATGTTGGCTGGAAGGATGGTCTGAGTGTGATAAGAGGGGCCGAGTCTGTGTTCTATTGCTGCATCACGTCGGAGAACTGAGAGCAAACCATCCACATGGACAATAGAGGAAATAGCCAATGTTATCCCAGAAATCCCTATGGATTGAAATCAAATGTTTGTCAACCTGCTGCTGAGTGCTGGGCATGGTGGTACCCACTCAACCACTGCCATCAAGTCAACTCCGACTCAAGGCAACCCTATGTAGGATTTCCAAGACTGCTAATCTTTATGGGAGCAGAGGGCTTCAGCTTTCTCCCATGGAGCAGCTGGTGGGTTTGAACAGCTGACCTGGGGTTAGCAGACCAGAGCCTAACCCACACAGTGCCACTAGGTGCTAGTCTCTGGAAATGTACTAGCAAGCCAAATATAGTCAGCTTGCCTGGAATTAGAGTCACAGGGTGAAGACACATAAAAGCCAAAGACACCATTCATCAAAAGGTACCAGTGACAGAGCAAAACCACAAGAGAGACAGACATCACAGTGAAACACACCATGCTGCAATAACAATAATAAAAGTAGAAAAGGAAAACAACCGTCAAGGCACACTCGATCTATTGGATCAAGGATTTTTATCTTGCCTATACAAGGACACCTATGAGTCTATGTTAAAAGATAGGCCACCCTAACAAATGTATAGGCAAAAATTCCTGCAGACCCTTGGCAAAATAGTATATTCTGCAGTCAATAAATTTTCAGTGTTCAACATTATCCGTCATGGACATGCCAATGAAAACCATGAGACATCACTCCGTACCCTTTGTTGTTGTTGTTAAGTACCATGGAGTCGGTTCCGACTCATAGTGACCCTGTACAGGATTTCCTAGGCTGTAAATCTTTACGGGAGCAGAACGCCTCATCTTTCTCCCATGGAACAGCTGGTAGTTTCGAACTGCTGACCTTGAGTTTAGCAGCCCAATTCATAACCAGTACGCTACCAGAGCTCCTTTAGGATGACTGAAAATAAAAAGATGGCCGCTACCAAGTGTCGGTGAGGATGCGTGTCAACTTTAATGCTCGTGTTGCCGATGAAAAAATAAATTGGAACACTCTGGAAAACTGTCAGCAGTAACGACGGAAGCTAAGCACATGTCTATCCATGGACCTGAAGGAACTCTGATGGTCCAATGGTTAAGCTAACTGGAAGGTCAGCAGTTCAAACTCAGCAGCGGCTTCACAGGAGAAAAAACTGAGACCTGTTCCCATAAAGATTACAGCGTAGAAAACCCGATAGAGTAGGTCTGTCCTAGAGGGTCAGTATGGGTCAGACTTGACTCGAGGACACACCACAAACACAGCACAACGACCTTGTGATCTAGCAATTGTATCTCTAGGTATATCAGCCAGACCAGAGACATTAGTGCAAACGTTCACCAAAAGACGTGTGTAAGAATGTCCAGAGAGGCTGAATTCAGAAAAGCATCCAGACATCCATCAATAGGAGAATGAGTAAGAACTCACTCATATCATTCTTTTAAATCAGCAATAAAAAGAATAAACTACTAGTGTGGCATTGTTGGATAAGCACTAGACCACAAAATCGATTTGAAATGTAAGATCAGTTCAAACTTACCAGTCGCTCCTCGGAAACCCTATACAAGTTGCTATGATTTGAAGCCGACTCAACAGCAATTAACAATAGCACAGCTATGTGCAACAGTCTGAATAAATCTCATAGAATTTTGAACAAAAGTCTTATTATGATTCTATATCATATAATTGATTTCCATTTACTTGCAGTACGATAGGGAGGCTTGTTAAGGGCTTTGAGTCAGTTCCGACTCACAATGACCCTATATTGGGTTTCTGAGGAGCAACTGGTGGATTTATATCACTGACCTTGTGGTTAGCAGTCCAGTGCTTATCCTACAGCACCACAGGCTAATCTATGTGATAAAAGATACGGTAGTGCTTTGGGGTGGGGAGTGGTTACTGAATGAAAAGAGGCAAAAGGGAGTCTGCCGGCAGACTGGACATGATCTGTATTACATGCACACACAAATCCATCACTCAATAACAAGTTTAGAGCTGTGCAGTGTACTTATATACGTTATTTCTCAAAAATAGCCATAGCGACTTCCGGCGCTTCCCTAACCGGGCAGACAGAGTAGACACTGGAGAGGGAGAGAAAGGAATAGTCAGAAACACCACACTAGAAGGTTGTAAGTCCATCTTCTGCCTATGACTGATTGGAATACCTAAAATGGGGCTACAGCGTACCCAGTGAACGAGGCTTTTTGTGGAGCCTTTGCAATACATAAAACTATAGGTAGAAACCGGAACCACATCCAGATCTCCAGAGATGAGAAATCTCCACTTGAAAGGACGAGCAGACCAGCCTAGAGTGGCTAGAAGAATAAAGGATACCTCTTGAAAGAAAGACCTGCAGGAAAAATGGAGGCAGATGGACTGTTACTACAAGAACAAACAAATCGCTTCCCTAGGAAACATCAAGGCAAGTGGCCAGGTCCTCTCAACGCAAACCCCCTTCCAAGACTAAGACTCAACGGAAATGCACGCTCTGATTGGTGACCACACACATCACCGATGAGGGGAAGTGGGGTAAAACAGCAATGAAGCAGCAAGCTAAGCCCTACAATGTTCAGTGGACTTCTGTGGAGCCAGTTGGGGACCTGGTTGGCAAGCAGTGTGAGGAGACCTGGAGACTCTTGGGCCCAGAGTCAGTGGCGTGGCCACGGAGGACTCGAGAGGAGAGTGGAGCTACCGGCTGACGAGAAGAGAGGGCATGTGCACAGGAGCGCCCACACTTGCAGATGATACCCACGTGACCTGGACTGGATGACTGGATGATCGGAGCTCAACCAGGAGAAGATAGAAGAGGGGGGGGGGAAAAAAAAGAGTGAGCTGATACAGTCTGATGAACTTGACCTACACCTATGGAGCAGCACCTCAAAAGAAGGAACAAATCCTCACAGCAAGAAACATTCACACACACACCCACACACAGAGTGGACGGAGATGGGCAACTTGGACATTGGATACTCAAATGGGGAGGGGGGGACTACAAAGGCAAGAAGTGACTGGCTTTACAAGCTTTCAAGAGGGAACCTGGTGCTAGGGAGCATGGCGGAAGGCAGAATCTCCAGTAGGTACTATTCAATCTGTCTGGGCGGAGCTGATGAAAGGAGATACAGATGGGTAACTCGTGATACTGTAGTGAATAATGCTTATCAGGACGGACTATGAGGGTTGGAAATGCAAAGTAACTCGTGATACTGTAGTGAATAATGCTTATCAGGACGGACTATGAGGGTTGGAAATGCAAAGGTAGACTTTTGTAACAAGGAAGGGAGTGATTAATTCTCTAGGACAGGAGCAGAGGCCTCTGGGACCATCAACGGAGAAGAGTCGAGAGCGGGACCCTACCCAGAGAAACAGAGATGCCTGAGATAGAGACAGAGACGATGACGTGGAGTAATGAAGTGGCTGGGGACTTTGGATCTAGAGAGGGAAAGGGATTGAGGGCCGAAAACTGGGTGGTGGTAGGGGAAGTGTAGGGGGTGGGCTTCCAGGATATACCCTTTGGTTGGTTGATGATGCATGGAGGGGATTGGAACCATGGCAATGAGATGATATATGATGGAATGAATGTAAAACTAAAGTTCTCTCATGTAAACTATCATATAATTCACAATAAAATATTAAAAAAAAAAAGTATCGATAGCACTTAACAACTACTATGAAGGGATGATTTCATGTGATGGCTGAGCAGAGGGCTGGCTGATCACATCAGAGCTGGTACCTGAATGGTGATGAGCAGGTAACCCCATTATGAACTGAGAGACCACCTTTTGGGCAGGGAGCAAGTGCAAAGGCCCTGAGGCAGGGTCAAGTAAGTTAGTGTTGAAGGACCCAGTGAAAGCCAAGGACTGAAGTGCAGTGAGCAGAGATCAAGTTATGGAGGGCTTCCTAATCCAACCTTAGCTTGATTTTTTTTCTAAGGGCAGCGAGAAATTATGAAGGTTTGAAAGAGAGGCTACTGACAAATGCATGAAGCGAGGTAAAGAGAAAGACCTTTGAAGATTTTTCACGTGTGACTAGGACATCTGGGAGGTGGGGGCTGGGGGACATCCCCGTTAGACAGTCATGGAGCTAGCTGTTGGGGGAGGCAGTGGGGCAAGGACATCTGGGAGGTGGGGGCTGGGGGACATCCCCGTTAGACAGTCATAAAGCTATTGGGGGAGGCAGTGGGGTTGAGGCTCAGGGTCCTGCTGGGAACTGGTGTCAGCCGTCTCAGATGAGAGGAGAGCATTTTGGGGGAGCATAGAGCAACAAGAGGGGACACAGGACACTTAGTGGGCTCCCAGGGAGAGTCTAGAGAACCTCAGGGAAGTTTGGGTTGAAGTGCCATTGAGCCCTTCCTCTGGATCCAGCAGGGGGCCCTGGAGGGAGAGCAGAGCCCAGGCCTCAGGCATCACAATGCAGGTTCCTAGACTCCCCCAAGACTCACCAGGAGGAGTGTGCATTTCCACGTTCCCCAGAGCACAGTGGCCCTGGAGTCGCTGTAAGAGGAATGTGTGTTCACTCTAGCTCCCTCCTGTACATGTGTGTGTTTGTGTGTGTGTGTGTGTGTGAGCAACAGCAAGAGAGAGCAATTTCCTCTCTCCTCGCAGAGGGTGGGGCTGCTGTATGTTTGTGTATGTTTGCGAGTGTGGGGCGGGTACGGTGTCCCAGGAGGACAGAGTTGGCATTGATGGAAGCCCGTCCCAGCCCACTGATGCCTCTTTCCTGCCGCCCCGGAGTTTAAACCAGCTCTGTCCTCCGTGCAGCCCACTGGCTGGTGCGCTCGCTTGGCACCATGGAATCCTACCTAGCCCTACGCGTGGCGTTGCTGCTCCTTTCCGGGGTCCTGGTCCCTGCGGTGCTCACAGGTGAGGGGGTTAGGCCCAGGTACAAGAGAGGTGGGCAGCCATCGGGGGTTTCTATGAAGTGCCCAGAGACAAATCGGCAGCAGTTGCATTGGGTGTCTTGGAAAACGTCAGTGCAGGGACAATGGCCTTTGAATTGAAGCTGGGACAACTTGGGGAGAAGAACCCAGGATGTTTAGCGTCTCGGGGACATGAGAATTACTCTAGCACCCTCAAAATGAAGCTTTCAAATCTAGGGTTCGGAGGCCATAGAGTCTTTGCTGACAACATCCAAACCTTTCAGCTGTTTTCTGCTGATTTTCTGAGATGTCCTCAACCAGCTGAAGGTATAGGGCCTGAGATCTCTCAGTCAAACACTGGGGACTCTGGGTGGAGACCTGAATGACCAGCTCAGAGGTTCGGCCTGAGGGGTGGTGGCTCCTGGTTGGGGTGTGTGTCTTAGGAGATGAGCTTCTGGGCCCTAGATAGTTTGGGGCACCTATACAGCTCGCAGCCCTGGCTTTTGGGGGTGTCTGTAAAGGAATGATCAGGATAGGAACGTGTGCATGGTCTTGGAGAGAACAGCTGGGGGTCCCTGAACCTTGGCCCGGTCTCACAGGAACATGGGCTCTGAAGAAACCTAATATGGGGCAGCTTAGGGCCCCTGGCTTCTCACGGAAGTCCCAGGAAGGAGCTGGCAGGCCGGTGGCTGTTATTCAGCATGCCCGTGCCCTCACTGTGGGGGCAGATACCACGATGCTTCTGCCTCCCCCCCAGGCCAGACAGGCAGCGCCTTCAGTGTGTGCTCAGTACCTGTCAGGGAATGGGTACACATTCCTCTGCCAAGTGTGTGTGGGGGTCTCTGGGCAGCCAGTGGGGTGCCCCACCCCAGGAATGGGAACTGGACCTCTAGGGCAGGGTGGCATCTTCATGGTGGGACCTTAGGACTTCCCACTCATGGAGGTGCTGGTTTCCCCTGGTTCAGACTGGAGGCCCAGCTTGGGTGGGTGGGCTGGGCTGCCGCAGGAATGCCTTGGCCTCACCTCACCTTTCTCGCTATGTGTCACCCCACCCTGAGTCTCTGGGTTAGATGTTTGGCTGTTTATCCTGCCATCCTGGCAGGGAGGGTGTTTGGTGGGTCTTGGCCACCCTGGGTCCACAGACCCCTGCCCTCAGTTCGGAGGGAGGGACAGTGGAGCTTCCCAAGGACTAAGGGCCAGGCCTGGCCTATGGCCTCCCTGCCGGTTTGCCAGTTGCCTGTTGCCTCAGCTTCTGGGCTGGGGGCCGACCAGGTTGGCGGGCTGGACGCCAGGGCAGGCATGAAAGGGCCCTTCAGGCCATACAAAGGCCGTCTGTGAGCCCGGCTCCTGGCCTTGGGGCCTGTGGTCAGGCCGAGCGTTAAACACACTTATTTACAAAAGACAGGGCGGTGGGGGACGCTGGCTGCCCTGGGGGTGTTCCTGGTGGTCAGGGCATAGCTAAAGGCCCCGTGGCCTTAGGCCACAGCTTGGTCTCAGCCCAGTTAGAGGGCAGGCCTCTGTGAGTTCTCTGTTCACGTCCCCTCATTCCTGTCCCATCCTCACCCTCCTCAGACGGGCCCTCCTGCTGGCAAACTTACTGGCCATTGCTCTGGCCATGGGCTTCCAGAAGGATCCATCAGGAGTTGTGGGGGAAGGGTGACTATTGCCCTTTAGTGTTGTGTCCTTCTGACTGCAGAGCAATGTTATTGTCAGTTCCGACTGGTAACTCAGGTGTCCTCAGGACAACAGAAGGTAACACTGCCCAGTCCTGAGCCTTCCTCAAGTCCTTACGTCTGAACCCACGGCTGTACCCACTGTGCCAGTTAATCTCATGGAAGCTCTTCCTCCTTCTCCAGACACTGGTCCCTCCTGATGAGAAATGTAGATGAGGCTAAGAACTTGGGCTCTCTGGTCCATGTCTGGCTGGCCCTGCATCAGGTTTGCAAGGAGGAGGGCCCAGACTGCCTGGGTGTAGCTGAGTCCTGGTTCAGCCTTCAAGGGTCTCCCATGGGTGGCTGTTGTAGTTGAGACTCAGGGCAGACATGCCACCCAGGCTGGTGGTGGAGCAGGGAGTAGGGATGGGAGGGTATCAAGATGTTTAAATCAAATGGCCAATTCACAGATCAGGAGCATGAATACTGTTGGGACCTCAGAGTGGGAGAGTGGTAGGCTAGGATGGACCCAGTTGGGTAAGTTTCAGGACCGGGCTTGGGTGAAGAAGGTGTGTGTGTGTGTGTGTGTGTGTGTGTACGCACCCATCAGGGCCATGGCAGGCTTCTGTGGGGCAGCAGTGACAGACTGGGCTCGACAGTGGACCTAACCCCCTATATACTCCTAGATGGCTCCCAGCTCAGGCAAAGGGCAGGGGTAACTGACTGCTCCCTGGCTTGGCCCCACTAGGGAGCATGGTCCCTACCCTCTCCTGCTGAACTCAAGGCTCAAGGCTCGCTGGGTCTGGTACCCTGATGCCAGAAGGGAGCTCGGGTCTGTGGTGGGACAGGAAGGAGCCTGTGGCTTGTCCATTGATGGGGAAGACAGGCGTCGGTGAGCCCCAGACCTCAAACCTGCCTACCAGCCCCTGGAACACACAGGCCTCTTCTCTGCCAGCCTTTAGGCGACATGGGAGGCCTGGCAAAGCCACCCCCTCCTCACAGGGTGGTCTCTGTGGTTGGTGAGAGTCCAGGTGGCAGCCAGACCCCAGCTCTGCAGGCCTGGTCACTGTGGAGAGGCCTGGCCCCACACAGGTGATGTTGTCCCCACTGGGCACCAACTGGCCTCATGCTCTTGGTGGCCTTCTGCCAGGCCTTTTCCAGGAAAGGGGTGCCAGCTTGAGCAGCCCCAGGGAGTGGAGGCTCAGCTCAGCCCAGCCTAACCCAGGGCCGTGGGGGTCACGACCTTGTAAACCTTTCCTGCGAAGGAGTTAAGCTTACAAGAAAAGCTGAAAGAATGATCCCATGAACCCCAGTGGACTGTTCACCTCGACTCACCGATGGCTGACATTTTCCCACTTTGGCTTTTCTGTCTTGTACCTAACTATGTACACATCATTCATATATCTATTTATCTACCATCTGGAGTCCTGGGGTGGTGTTCTAGGAGAAGCACTGGGCCACAAGGTCGGTTTGAACCTCAAGGTTGGTGTTTCAAATTCACCAGCCATTCCTCAGAAACCCTATACAGAGTTGCTTAGAGTCAGAACCGACTCGTCAACACGTAACCACATCTACTATTCCTCATCTCTCCACCATTGACCATCTGTGGATCCATGTTATCTGTCTATCAGCTAGTCATCTACCATCTGTGTGTCTATCTGATCTATCACTTATCGATCATCCATGTATCTGTGTAGCAATATATCTTACCATCTATCCATCAGCTACAGCTACCATCTAGGGACCTTGTTCATCGCTGATTAGCCATGTATCTATGTATCAATTGGCCTGTCATTTATCGATCTATCTGTCCTGTGAAACCACAAGGTCCCCAGTGTGAGCCCACCAGTTTCTCCATAGGAGAAAGACGAGGCTTTCTGCTCCCACAAAGTTTAGAGCTTCAGAAACATTATAGACTCGCTATGAGAATTGATGCTGGAGGGGAATATTAGTACCATGGACTACACAGAGTAGACAGGGATGGGCAACTTGGACATTGGCTACCCAAAATGGGGGGGGGGGGCTACAAAGGCAAGAAGTGACTGGCTTACAAGCTTTCAAAGAGGGAACCTAGATCCAGAGGGCGTGGAGGAAGGTAGAATCTCCACTGAGTAATATCCAATCTGTCTAGGCGGGGCTGATGAAAGGCAATGGGGATGGGTCTCTTGTGATACAATAGTGAATAATGGTTATCAGGACTGATTGTGAGGGTTGGAAATGTAAAGGTAGACGTTTTGTAGCAAGGAGGGGAGTGATTAACTTTTCAGTCTAGGAGCGGAGGTCCCTGGGAGCATCAAGGGAGAAGAGCAGAGAGCGGGACCCTACCCAGAGAAGCAGTGTATGCCTGAGATGGAGGCAGAGAGGATGATGTGGAGCAATGGAGCAGCTGGAGACTAGATTCAGAGAGAGAGAGGGGCTGTGTGCTGACGACCAGGGGGCAGGCTTGTAGGGTATACCCTTTGGTTGGTTGATGATGCATGGAGGGGATTATAACCATGGCAATGAAATGATATATGATAGGATGAATGTAAAACTAATGTTCTCCCATGTAAACGATCACATAATTCACAATAAAACATTAAAAAAGAAAGTATCATGGACTGCCAGAAGAACAAACAAATCTGTGTTAGAAGTACAGCCACAATGTTCCTTAGAAGCCAGGAAGGGATCAGTCACTACTTTGGTCCCTGAACAGCCATGTATATATGCATCAATATATCTTTCCAATAATTTATCTACGTATCCATTCATCATCTACATCTGTCATCTGCGTAGCTATCTTATCCATCCATGTATCTTCTATCTCTCTTCTAGCACTTGAGACATCATAGCCGTCTGCCCCTAAATACTCCCAAGAACAAGGCTTTCTTACACGTGACTGATCAGCTGACAAAACAAGGAAATGGGCGCTGAAACAGCAGTATGGCTGTCTAAGCTGTTAGTAGTCAGTAGGCGTTAAGTCCTGGTATGGCGTTGTGGGCTAATGTGCTGGACTGCAGAGTCAGTTTGAACCACAAGGTCGACGGTTCAAATTCACCACCTGCTCCTCAGAAACCCTATACAGGGTCACTATGGGTCGGAGCCGACTCAATGGCACTTAACAACAACAACAAGTGCTGTCTAGCTGGTCCCAACTCACAGCAACCCTGTGTAGGATTTCCAGGGATCTGTTGGTGGGTTTGAACCTTTGGCCTCATGGTCAGCATCCCAGTGCTCATTCTAAAGTGACACACCAGGACTATGGCTTTATTCAGAGTCCCTTCATCCAGCCCACAATGCCTTTTAATAGCAGCGCCCGCCCACCCAGGGACATGTCATGTTTCCTTAGTGTCTAATCTACAACACTCCTCAGTCTTACTTTACCTCCATTCATGACCTCAAGGACTTTATTTTTTTCTGTAGAGAAAGCATTTTATTTATATCGAAAAGATTACATTAAGATCTGTAAAAGGTGTTAATATGATCGCCTACACAGAAAAAGGAGCTCTCGTAGTGTTGTTACGAATCGGGCTGGGAACCGTAAGGTCAGCAGTTCGAAACTCCCAGCTGCTCCGTGGGAGAAAGATGAGGCTTTCTGCTCCCGTAAAGATTTACAGCCTCGGAAACCCTGTACAGGGTCACTATGAGTCGGAACCGACTCCATGGCACTCAACAACAACAACACAGAAAAAAATATTCAAATGTGATTAACAACAAAAGTCACACAGATTCCTAGTTAGCAGTGTAATTAATCCACATCGCAATAAAGTTAACTCAAATATTCCAAAATAAAAGCAGTGTTTCTCCACAATCAGTCAGTTGAGAACTACAGTGTAAGATCACTTTAGATTTAAAAAAATCATCCATCAATCTATAGAACATCCTAAGACAAGGGAGGTGGTTATGTGCCGTGGAGTCAGTTCCGACTCATAATGACCCTCCACAGGGCTTCCGAGGCTGTAAATCTTTATGGGAACAGAGCACCTCATCTTTCTCCTGCAGAACAGCTGGTAGTTTCGAACAGCTGACCTTGCAGTTAGCAGCCCGATTCGTAACCACTACGCTACTAGAGCTCCTTAAGACAAGGGAGCCAGACAGTTAATTTATTTAATCATTGGGTGTTGCATTCTTCAATACTGTTCATAGGAAAAAAAGTAAGGAATGGGCACACATGGTAAATCGAACATATTTTGTCTATGTTGTTGTTGTTAAGTATCATTGGGTCAGTTTCAACTCATAGCGACCCTGCATAGAGTTTCCAAGGAATATCCGGTGGGTTTGAATTGCCAACCTTGTGGTTAGTAGTCCAGTGCTTGCTTATCGTATAGCACCACACCAGGATTCCATTTTGTCTATATAGTAAAAAAAACAAAACAAAACAAAAACCAAATTATAAAGTGAGCTAACAAAGAATGAAATCTGAAGACAGACTTATAAAACTGACAACATTTTAGACAACACGTATGGTATTTTCCATGTAAAAACACCTAGTTTCAGCAAGGAATAATTTGGTTGCTTTTCAGATGCATGGTAGATCTTGTAAGCTAAAGATACAGATAAATATCCAAGTATCTTAAAAACCATAATAAATGTGTTTCTCAATGCATCCAAAGCGATAAATGCTCTTGTCACAATCTTATGGGTATTTTTGGAAGCTTGTTTTGTCTTGCTTCAGAAACACATTAAAAAAGGGTAAAAAAAAATCAAAGCGTTCCATGGTACATTGAAACAGTAAACAGTACTCAATTTACTGCTAATACTGGAAATAAGCCAACAAACCCTAGATTTTACAGTTGTTAAGTGTTGTCACGTCAGTTCCAACTCACAGCGACCCTGTGTAGTGTTTCCAAGGAGCAGCTGGTAAATTTGAACCACCAACCTTGTGGTCCCGTGCTGTCTTACAGAACTCAGAATTTACAGTACTCTGGTATATATGAAAAAAACCTTTTAAAATTTACATTGTATATTTCTGAGTCCATTCTATTGTATGTCTGTTGTATTTTTCTTTGTCTGATTTATAGATTTGGGTAATCTCTGGTATTAAGGGTCATCTGGATTACAACAGAGTAGAGAACACGTGGATAAGCAAACCTTTGATGCAGTCAGAGCTGGCAGCCATTGTAACCTCAGGATGGTAAATTTTTGTTGTGAGAACAATCTCCGGTAGTTCAAATGGATAGTTTGTCGGAAAACGTATGAGGTGGGTGGGCTGTCAGTGGAACAAGTCCAGCTGAACAGTGAGTGGGTGAGTAGGAAGAATCACTTAATTCTTTCTGGATCAGCATCGGTGCCATGGGGTCAGAGAGGGTTACAGCCAGCAGGGGGCAGCCAGCAGGGGGCAGCTGTGGGCCCGGGGGTGTCCCGTAGTAGAGGCGTTGGCTTGCAGGCTGCTCGGCTGGCTCAGTTCAATGGGTCCCTGAACTCCAGAGTGTGAGTATGCTGGTGGGGACATCAGCAAGAGGACCTCAGTGTTTCAGAAGACTTAGTCCTGTGATTTTATGACTGTCTCTGAATTTGGCTGTGATTGGTGTCCTCAGGTGGGTCCTGTTGGTGGGAACATCCCAGAAGCTCTGTGTTCTCTCATGGCACCCCTTCAAAAGGGGTGGCCTTGGGGAAGGGCAGGGGTCTGACTTGGCACTGCAGAAGGACAGGTGACCCAGAGACCCACAGGCGTGCCAGGGGCAACAACGTTGTTACAGCGTTGTTAGGGCTCCGGACGTCCTCACCACCGGCACATTACCTCTGTGCCCTTTGCTTAACCCAAGTCCTGGCTTTCTCTCCGAAATAGGTGTGATGCTGTGGGTTAAGTCGCTGGACTGCAAGGTCAGTTTGAACCACAAGATCGGCAGTTCAAGCTCACCAGCTGCTTCTCAAAAACCCTACACAGGGTCACTATGAGTCAGAACCCACTTGACGGCACTTAACAAGACCACACAGAGGATGTTCTTGGTCCATGCGAGGGACCTGCTTGGGGCTGAGGGTCCCTGAGCCATCATCAGGATTAGGCATAGGTGGTCCTGACCCGGCTGAAGACATGGTGTCCATGGTCAGGGCTGAGGTGGCCTGGAGACAACCTTCCATCCGGCTTGAACTCATCAGGTTTCTAGCGTCTCCATCTGGTTGTCTGTGAAGAAGGCAGGGCCCAGGGTTTGGAGTGGTGCTGTGGGCCTTCTCCAGCCAGCTCCATAACGGGATATGGGGTGACTGGGATGGTGCTTGGGCCTAAGTGGGGGCATGGGGGCTGGGGTCGCTATGCTGGCCTCTCAGCTTGTGGTTTGTAGGGGACCTTCCTGCTCTCTGGGGCCCCGCATAGCCCAGGCCCTGCTAACCCAATGTCTTGGGCAAAGAATGGTTGTTCAGGGGCTGAAGTGTTAACCGACCCCCTCTAATGGACCTTCCAGACCCTCACTCGGGGATGTTCTCAGGTGAACACGGACACCCTGCTGTCTAGGGAAAATGGCGCAGTGCTGGTTCATGGGTTTCTTAGGATAGGAACCCCTTAGCCTTCAATACTTCAGATGTGGGGGCATGTGTGGTCCCTCACTTTATCTGTGGCTGACCATGGTTGGGGAGGATGCCCCCTGGTGTCCAGTGTGGATCCTGCAGCTGTGCTGCCTCCTGGGAACCAGGAGGGCAGGGCCTTTGGTTGCCCAGGGCCACACTTTTCTCAGCCCTGTTAGGGTGGGTGCATGTTACAGCTCTTGCAGGTGAGCTGTCTTGACTGGTTGGCAGTTCCGATGGGGAACGGAACTCAGGGGGAGGTGAAGTGTCCCAGGTCCTGGGAGCTGCCTTGCAGCTCTCCTTCCGGCCCACCTTTTAGGGCTTTTTCTGGGACAGGACCTTCTTCCTCTTCCCATTGCTCTCCCCACACCCCGCGTCGGTCACTGCACAGGCGTGGGGGCAGCCTCTGGGCCTCGGTTGCTTCCTCTGTGAAATGGGACCGTAGCGGGGAGCCCCGAGTCCACACTCTGTATCTGCGCCGCCGGTCACTCTCGAGGGTGGTGTCCTTGTCCCATCGCCTGTCCTTGGTCTTCCAGCCGAGGGTCCCCAGGAAACGGCTCCAACACTGTGGAACGAACCTGCTGAGCTGCCGTCGGGAGAAAGCCCCGCGGAGAGCACGAGCCCGGCCCGGGAGCCCTCCGTCACCGGTGTCCAGGCCGCCACAGACGCGCCAGGCCCGGAGGACAGCACCGCCGGGGAGCGGCTGGACCAGGGCGGCGGTAGGCGGGGCACGAGGGGCGGGGCATGTGGAAGGGCGGGGCGTGGGGCGGGACCGGGCGGAGCAGCACGTGGTGGAGGTGGAGCTGGCGGGCGTGGCGTTGGTGACTGGTCATCTGTCCTCCAGGTGCACTGGGGCCCGGCGCCATCGCCGCCATCGTCATCGCTGCCCTGTTGGCCACCTGCGTGGTGCTGGCGCTCGTGGTCGTCGCGCTGAGGAAGTTTTCCGCCTCCTGAAGCCAATAAAGGGGCCTCGCTCCACCCCCGTGAGCCCAGTGTCTGCGCGTGTGTCCGCGCGCGGGGTGAGTGAGTGCAGCTGCGCTCCGGGACGGCGCGCACGGACTCGCGTGGGGAGCGCATGTGCGGGGCCCGGGCCAGCGGGACTGGACGGCGAGCGTACGTCCACAGCCCTGCCACCACTGGGGGTCCCAGAGAGTGGCCCACGGAGAGAAGCGGGACCCCGCGGGCAGGGGAAGGGGTAGTGGGATGGAGCCATGGGCCGGGCTGGCAGTTGGAGGGCTGGTGGCCGTCGGGGCTCCGATCCAGAGCCTGATTATTTTTGGGCCCCCATCTGCAGGGATCCCTTACTCCAGGGACTCCCTTAACCCTGTCGAGCCTGGATCGAGCTGCATTTGACAAAGGCTTTGCCAGACCCTGAAACGGGCTCCACACGGGACAGGACGGCTCATTTAGAGAAAGAAAACGAAATGCCTTTTCCAGATCAACTCCCCTCCATTACACTTCGAAAGTGTCCATGGTGTCCGGACGTCCCCCCGCCGTGACCAGGCAGCCCTGGGACTTAGCATTTGCCTGGCTATCTTCCATGTTTCCCAGAAAGCTTTAGAATTGGGAGAGAGAGATGAAAATAGTATGCCGGGGCTAGAAGGGCACATACAGCCCTGCTCTGTGATCAATGAGGAGCTCATACTTGGGCTACTGGAAGGTCCTGTTTGTGGGGTGTGGGTGGGGAGCATCTTCCCTCCCCACTTTTCCTTTCTGTTCACTCTCACCTGGCCCATGGCTTCCAAGAGCTCAGTACTGCACCTCTGCAGTTTTCTCCCTCCTCGGGATCTCGTAAAACGGGAACCTGTCTCCCACACACTCTTACTTGGAGCAGATCCCATTGAATCACGTTCCCAGCTCCCCACACCAGCAGCTTCCCCAAATCATGGGCTAAAAGTCTCTACTTAGAGACCAAGCCAACCAAGTCCACTGCTGTGAAGTCGATTCCAAGTCCGCATTCGTAGCGGACAGGGACAGAGCAGAAACGCCCCTACGCCTTCTGAGGCTAAGTTTTTACCGAAGCAGACTGCCTCATCTGTCTACCCAGAATGGCTTGTGGGTTCGGACCTTGGACCTTTAGTTAGCAGCTCAACTCTTAACCCACGCTGCTGCCAGGGTTACTTCTCTGCTCACAGAGGCTGGGATAGTCATGTGGACTGTTGACTTGATTTCCTTTCCCGTAATCTCCAAAAGCCAAAGCCCTCATTAGAGCAGATGATCACCATTTCCTAACTTCAGAAGGAAAGTCAGGACCAATGGCCGCCCCAAACCCCAGAGTAGCACAAGGCTCAGAAATGTTCCTTTACACTTTCGGGGGACTCAGAGGTGCAGGTACCCCTGGGGGGGTCTCAAAGGGTCTGGGGGTCTGAGGACACCAGGGACCAGTCCTGCAACCTGTGAGCAGATGCATGAAGTCCCACACGGGATAAATCGTGGCTTGGAATCCCAGGCCTGTCCTGAAGGAAGGCGTGTCCTGGCAGAAAGAATCTGGGACCATGCAGGCAAGGATGAATTCAAATTCAGGTCCCTCAACTGTGGAGGCGGGGAGCAGAAACCCAAGGGGCCAAGGGCCCTCTGTGCTGGGGGCCCTGAAGCATCTAGGTAATGGGCCATCACTGATAGTAGGAAGACAGTGGCTGGCCTGGTCCCAGCCCTGGTGGTTAGATCTCTTGTGGGACCACCACTAACCTGATACCTAGGTCCTCAGTGGTCTTTCAGTCTCTGTCCTCACTTCCACTCCAGAAGGGCACCGCTGACCCCTGCAGCAGCTCCTATTGGTGCCTCGTCTCTCCACCACCTGTCCAACCTCTTTCCACCGTCCTCCATCAGTCAGTCCATCCATTCTTCTTCCATCCTCCATCCATCAATCTAGTCCATCCCCATCTATCACTCATCCATCCCTCCATGAGCCACCCTTCCTCCATCAATCAATCCATGCAGCCATCCCTCCCTCCTCCAGAAGTTCATCCATTCTTCTTCCATCATCAATCCATCCTCCATCCACCAGCCATCAATGGATTCCATCCACCATCTATCCATCATTCATCCGAACTCCATCTGTCCATCCATCCACCATCATCCATTCATTCACTGGTTGATCCTTAGGCCCAGACCTGACTGCCCCTCCTCCATTAGAAGCCCTCCAAGCCTCTCTTTCAGGGCCTACTACCTCCACTCTCCCTGTCCAGAACTCAACACCTCATTCCTATGTGTGCCAAGATAATAAAGAACAGACCTCCAGCTCTTATATTTTATACATGATGCTTCTTTTAATGCAGTCAAAACAGAGATTTGCATCTTATAACCATAATCCAAGATGCAGCAACCAATTCATTCCTTAAAATGACTAAACTCCTGTAGGGACCAGAAGTCACATGGTACATCTGATGGATCATGGAGTTGGAGCCCTCAGCCAAGCTCTGGTTGGTCTGAGCAGAGGGCCTGGCCCAGCAGCCTGAGACCGGCCGAGGTTTGAGGATGGGTGGACAGAGGTGGCTGGTATCAGCCCTGTGCACTGCAGACCAAGGGCCCCTCACCGAGCTCTGTCAGACAAAGGTGGTCCATATGCACGCAGGGTGGATTCTAACAGCTCCCAAGGCAGGGAGGGGCACGTGCAGGGGACCACCCTCCAGGAGGCCCCACTCTAGACCCTATAAAGGACAGGACAGAGAGGTGGTGTGTAATACTGTTTAAAATACACGTTCTCGTTCACAATGCGTCCAGGAGAGCCACGGCGCTGTCTCCAGGCGCTGTCTCCAGAAGTAAGCAAGGGGCCAAGACGTGAGCACTCCCCATGTAGGCAGACCACCAGAATCAGGCCCGCTGTCTGCAGGGTGTGGTCCATCCTCCCCTGGGGCCCCTCCACCAGCTCCGCTCCCGCCTGTCTGCCTGCCCACCCCTCGCCTGGCTGGTCGCAGGCTGGGGTCATTGCCGATCCGGCTGCCTGGCTGCTTGCAGGCTGGGGTCATTGCCGATTCCGGCTGCCTAGCTTTCTGCGGTCCTTATTCTGACTGCGCTGGGGGTCGTCCATCTTGTGGACACGGAAACACTCCTTGAGGTTCTGCGATCGGATCTTGGGGTTCAAGATCTCCTCGGTCATGGAGCTGGGGAACCACCCTCTCTCCTGGTCGTGCAGCCGCTCTCCGAAGATCCACCCTGTCGGGCGATTGGGGAACATCAGGATCTCTCCGGGATCAGGAGCAGGGCCCAGCAAGCCTTTCCCAAAGGGCTCTCACTCTTTGAACCCTTGTGAGACCCTGAGATTGGACTTGTCCTGCAGAACTGGGTGAGGGGCTGTGCCTCTGGCACCCTCACAGGAGGTGAGGAACAGCTTAGGAGGGCAACTCCGCTGAAGCCAGCCCCACGAGGCTTTAAACCTATTGACTCGGAACCTGTTCCCAAGCTTTCTGAAAAGCCTTGGCTGCCATGAGATACTACGGGGCCAGAGAGTGTGGGAGGTGACCACTGTCGCCTTCCTGTGTGGCAGGTCCCCCAAGGTTTCTTCTCCTGAGGGCCAGCTGGTCAGCTCAGGGCTCCAGACCTGGTGGCCACAGGCAACATATTACAAACAAAGGGTTTAGGGTCAGAGTCAAGACCTGATGGTCTTCCCCCAGGTCTGTGGGAGGGAAGTGACTTGAAGTGGCTGCTCACATGGGCTCAGTGCTGAGGAGAAAGAGTGACCTCATGGACAGCCTAACCCTGCTCCCAAGAAAAGACCGAAAGAAACGAGAATGGAGCAGAGGTGGGCTGGCTCTCCCTGCCCACCAACCAGCTGGCCAGAGGCAGGCAACCCCTGGACATGGGACCTGTTTAGGCCTCCCCTCATCCCACAGGCTGGGGGCCCCATGCAGAGCCCGCTGGGAATGGCGAAGCCTCACCGTCCTCTGTCTTGTCTAGGATGTTCAATATGTCGGCGAGGTCCAGCGTCAGCTCATCCGGCTGCTGGGCCACATACGGGTGTACACACTGCACCTGGGGGCAGTCTGACGAGGTGGGGACATGGTCTCATCAAGCAGTCCCTGGCCTGCCCTGCCCTGGACACCTCTACCCGCCTCCGCGTGGCTAATGTGGGTACTGCAGCCAGCAGGCAGGCGGGAGCTGGTCCCACACAGCAATGCCATAAAGGGTTCATTTGAGGGAGAAGACGGTTTGGTTCCAAGGAAAACCTACGGAAATAGCCAGGCGTTCTGGGAAAATGGGGACTGAGGGTGGGCACACTTCCATGGTTCTGTCTGCACTCCTGTCTCCAGGCAGTGGCCAGGAGGGGCTGTGGGATGGTTAGGGTTGATGGGCGTGGCCAGGAGGGACTGGGATGGTATGGGTTGATGGGTGTGGCCAGGAGGTGGTGTGGGATGGTTAGGGTTGATGGGCGTGGCCAGGAGGGGGTGTGGGATGGTATAGGTTGATGGGCGTGGCCAGGAGGGGGTGTGGGATGGTTAGGGTTGATGGGCGTGGCCAGGAGGGACTGGGATGGTATGGGTTGATGGGCGTGGTCAGGAGGGGGTGTGGGATGGTTAGGGCTGATGGGACAGAAACTCAGGTCAGGATTGTTCCCACTTCTATCATTCATAAACTTTTCAGACAACAGGCTACCTCAGGAGGACATATGATTTGATTTCTGGGCCCGAATCCTCCAGGCCCTTCTCTGGAGATCTTTCAGTATCCACATGGGGTCTCTGATCTCCTCCTTGTCCAGCCAATCCTCCCCGAACTCAGGTGGGCCACCCTCCCCATCAGTGTCTAAGCTGCCAGCAACAACACTGGCCCCAGAACCCAGAGTGGGTTTTCTGAGGCCCTGGAGACACTTTGTTCATTAGCAGAGTCCCGTTGGGCAAAGTCCCAACTGGCCCTGAGCCCCCTTCCCAGCAGGCAGCCTACCCAGTAGCCGGGATGTGAAGGAGACAAACTTGGTCCTCCGGTTAGGGGCCAGCGAGGTCATCCAGCGCTTCATCTCACTCCTGTGACAGGTGGTGGTGGTGGTTATGTGCCATGGAGTCAGGAGGGGGGCCTATTTCCAGCTGAAGAGCTTCCCTTCCCTCCCAGCTCCTGAGATGGTTCGAAGCTGACCAGCCCCATTCTGTGCTCCCTTCCATGCACTGCTCCATGCAACACAGAGACGGGGACTCTCAGAAGGGGCCCCAGAGATGGGCTGCCCCAGGGTTAGTGACACAGAGGCATTACAGGAGAGGGGAGAAGTTTAGGAGCTCCACAGGGTCTCCTCACGGGTGACGTCTAAGAGTCAGCCAGGGAGGGTGATGTCCCTAAGAATTCTCCACAGCTGACCCACAGAGGATGCCGTGGCTAGCTCTCTGAGGCCATGGCTCCTCAGATTTGTGTCCCCGTTCCAGCCGGGCCAGAGACCAAGATCCCAGCGGAGGAGGCCCCTTTGGTGGGAAAGTGAACTCCAGGGCAGGGGCTCACAGCACTCTCCCCGTCACAGGGCTTGGTTGCTCAGGCCCCAAGACAAGCGGGTGAGGGCAGGAGGGGCTTGGGTCCATGAGCCAGCAGGGCTCAATTGTTGCAGGATATCTTGTCTCAATTCAACAACTCACTCTAGTCTAAAACCCAGAGGAACACGTATGTGCCCACAGGCAAAACACACAGCACATGTAGGCTCACACTTGTTTGCATGTGCATGCAGGGGCACACACATGACACACACAGCATAAACACATGTATGTTACACACACACATGCAGGCTCACACTTGGAATGCACTCAAGCACACCAACACCACACACGCACGCTCGCAGGTTCACACTTGTATGCACACATCACATGTATACACACATGCACATGCATGCACAAACACAACACATGGTTCATACTTGAAACGCATCCTAACCCTAACATCCCCCCCACCCCCATCAGGGTCCCACACTGCGTGCACAGGCTCTGCGGTGAGCAGGCTGGGTGTGTGTGGAGCCGAGTTCTGTCCGGAGCCCCCTCCTCATGGGGAGGTGACTCCGCCCTGGTGTGGTGTCCCCACACTCACTGAGAGGACGCCTTCAGCATGTAGGTAGCTTCCCGGTCATCGGCATTCTCCAGCAGTCTCAGGATGAACACATTGGCCAGCGTCTGGCCCTGGTCCTCCAGCTCCTCCACCCGGAGCAGGCCCCGAGGGGCTGAGTCGAACACCTGGTATTTGTCTCTGAAACCAGGGTGCCAAGAGTGGGCGTGTCAGTCAACCGGAGGTGTGGGGTGTGTGTGTGTCTCCTGAGACCCTCCCCAGCCTGCCAGACAGACCTTAGAAGCCCCCATCTGAACATGTCTCCTCCCCCAGCAGAACAGGCCCCCACCCCCATGGAGTGGACAGCAAGCAGGCCTGGCAGCGCACACTCGGAGTTAGGCACCAGGCTGGGTGTGAAGTTTCCAGTTGAGGTCAGGACAGTTCAGTAAAGCTGCCCCAAAGCTGGACAGTCACAGAGCAGACTTGAACTCCAGCCCTGAGCCTTCTGGGAACCCCTGGGAGCAAGATGGCACCATGTGTGCCTGAGCTCTGGGCCCAGGCCTGGGCCCCAAGGCTGCGCTCGGGCAGACTCACCCGGGGATCTGGCGGCAGATAACCAGCAGGTCGTTGAAGAGGAAGAGGTAAATCTCCCGGAAGAGCTTCTTAGTGCGCAGGGTACGGGAGGTCTTGGGGCCCGACATCTGCTGCAGCTCGCCCTGCTTCAGCAGCCACCGGGAGTGGGAGATGATGGGCACTGACTGAGGACGGGGTGGGGGGTCAGCACAGGCAGGGGTCCGGGGAGCCGCCCCAGCAGCCCCAGAGCCCATGGGTGCAGGGAGCGGGTGGTTGTGAGCAAACCCAGGCCCAGAACCCATGGGCACTGTGGGCACATTGTTAGGTACCACTGAGACTCATAGTGACCTCCGTACAAGAGAAGAAACACTGTCTGGTCCTGTGCTAGCCTCACATTGTTGTTACACTGTACTAATTCATCGCACTGGGGGTCTTCTTCTTCTTCACTGACCCTCCATTTTACCAAGCATGATGTCCTTCTCCAGGGACTGGTCCCTCCCAATAATATGTCCTAAGTATGAGAGATAAAGTCTCATCATCCTGGCTTCTAAGGAGCATTCCGGTCGTACTTCTTCAACACAATATGTTTGTTCTTCGGGCTGTCCACGGTACTTTTAATATTCTTTCCAACACCCTAATTCAAACGCATCAATTCTTCTATGGTCTTCCTTTTTCAATGTTCAACTTTGGCATGCATAGGAGGTTACTGAAAAAATCATGGCTTGAGTCAGGCGCACCTTAGTCCTCAAACTGACATCTTTGCTCTTGAGCACTTTAAAGAGGTCTTGTGCAGTAGATTTGCCTAATGCAATAAATATGTCATTTGATTTCTTGACTCGTGCGTCCGTAAGTGTTGAAAGTGGATCCAAGCATACTGAAGTCTTTGACAACTTCAGTCTTTTTTCCATTTATCATGATGTTAATTATTAGTCCAGTAGTGAGGATTTTGTTTTCTTTACATTGAGGTGCAACCCACAGTGAAGGTTTTGATCTTCATCAGTAAGTATTTTAAGTCCTCATCACTTTCATCAAGCAAGGTTGTATCATCTGCATATCACAGGTTGTTAATGAGTCTTCCTCCAATCCTGATGCCACGTTCTTCTTCATATAATCCAGCCTCTTGGATTATTTGCTCAGCATACAGATTAAATAAGTATGATGAAAGAATACAACCCTGGCACACATCTTTTGAACCATTCTGTATCCCCTTGTTCTGTTTGAACAATTGCCTCTTGGCCTATGTACATGTTCCTCAGGGGCACGATTAAGTGTTCTAAAATACTTGTTCTTCACAATAATGTCCATAGTTTGTCATGATCCACACAGTCAAAATCCTTTGCATAGTCAGTGTTGTTGTTGTTAGGTGCCATCGAGTCGGTACCAATTCATAGCAACCTTATACACAGCAGAACGAAACACTGCCCATTCCTGGGCCAACCTCAATACTGTTGCCATGCTTGAGTCCATCCATGCTGCCACTTGCCCAACCCATTTCGTTGGGGGTCTTCCTCTTTTTCTCTGACCCTCCACCTTACCAAACATGATATCCTTCTCCAGCGACTGGTCCCTCCTGACAATATGTCCGAAGTATGAGAGACAAAGTTTGGCCATCTTGGCCTCCAAGGAGCACTCTGGCAGCACTTTGTCCAAAACGGATCTGTTGGTTCTTTTGGCAGCCCATGGCACTTTCAATATTCTTCTCCAACACCATAATTCAAAAGCATCAATTCTTCTACAGTCTTCCTTATTCACTGTCCAGCTTTCACATGAGTTTAAGAGATTATTGAAAATACCATGGTTTGGGTCAGGAGCACCTTAGTTTTCAAGCTGACATCTTTGCTCTTCAACACTTTAAAAAGGTCTTGTGCAGCAGATTTGCCTAATGCAATATATGTGGTTTGATTTCTTGACTGCTGCTTCCGTGAGTGTTGATAGTAGATCCAAGAAGAATGAAGTCCTAAACCATAAGTTAATATCTTTGTTGTATTCTCTGCTTTCAGCCAAGATCCATCTGACGTCAGCAGTGCTCCACGTCCTCTTCTGAATTTGCCTTGAACCTTTCACAGGTCCCTGTCAATGTACTGTTGCAACCATTTTTGAATTATCTTTAACAAAATTTTACTTGCATGTGATATTAATGATACTGTTCAATGATGTCTGCAGTCTGGTGGGTCACCTCTCTTTGGAATGAGCACAAGTAAGGATTTCTTCCAATCATTTGGCCAGGTAGCTTTCTTCCAAATTTCTGGGGGTGGAGTGTTATTGTTGTTAAGTGCTGTTGGGTCAGTTCCAATTCATAGCAAGCCTGTATAGAGTTTCTGAGGAGCGACCAGTGGATGTGAACTGCCAACCTTGTGGTTAACAGTCCAGTGGTAGTCGTAACTAACACAGGCCCAGAATCCATGGATAAAAGGTGGGGATAGTCATAGGCAGATGCAGGAAAATGGTAGTATGTGGGCCTATGTGTATGTGTATGTATGAGCTTTTATGTCAATGTGTCCATCCATGTGTTATGTATGTGTTGTATGTCTGTGTGCACACTTGTGTCTTAAATACCTGGTGTTGTGCTGTATATATATCTGCTTGTGTGTCTCTGTGTATCAGTGTAAAGTGGGGTGCTATGTATTTGTCTGTGAGTTGTGTGTATGCATGTCTGTAGGTGCCTATAGTGTGTGTGTGTGTGCATGTTGTGGGGGCTGATCTTCTGCCATCTCCTTCCACCTCCCAATCCCCGCTGAAGTCACTGACCTAGGCTGTACCCTGAAGAGTGAGGGGAAGGTCACATTTACAGGGGACAGGACACACAGGGCAGGTCCTGAATGGGCTAGCGGTTGTCCACACTTGTGGCATAAGCAGCTAGCTCATGGGGCATAGGGACCAGAAGGCCGTGTCGGTACTGGAGAATGGGCTCATCTCCCAAACCCAGCCAGGGCCTCGGGAATTGTGCTGGGACTTGCGGCTGATGTACCCCAGTCACCAGAGGCCAGGCCCCAGGGGACTCGTTTCATGTGAAGTTTATTGGAACAGGTCAGTAACTCCCGTCCGATTTTCAGAGAAGGCTGTGATCTCCCCAATTTAAGAACCCCTGGAACAGTCCCTGGGCCGTACTTGATGCTCCCTGCAAGCTGACAGCGCAGGCCACAGTCACAGACGGCAGAGCAGCGAGAAGACCCTCGGCAGGCGTGACACTGAGCCAAGGCTGAAGGAATCATTCAGGTTTTGTGCTCAGCTGCTGACCCACGCCCCAGCCTCCATACAGCCCTGTGGTCACCTCCATCCCAGGGCCGGGTGGGGCACAGACACACCTTGATCTTGAACTCCATCTTTTTCTGGATGCTGATCATCTGCTCTGTGCGGCTCATTTTCCTGACTCCCTCGTTGCACGCCTTCACCACCTGGGATAGAAGGAGGCACATTAGGCCCAGTGGGCTGGAGCTCTGCCCTCTAGCATCTTCGGGAGCCAAGACACCTGGGAATGCTTCAGCCTCTTGGGGTGAGAATGGGGTGTACGCAAGTGAGTACCTGGTCCTTTCTAGGCAATCAGGCCCTGAGAAGATGCCCCTCCCCTCCCCAAATACAAAGGGAAGCAATAAAGGTCTCTTGTTGTTGTTGTTGTTGTTAAGTGCCATTGAGTCGGTTCCGACCCATAGCGACCCTGTACAGGGTTTCCGAGGGTGTAAATCTTTATGGGAGTAGAAGGCCTCATCTTTCTCCCGCGGAGCAGCTGGTAGTTTCGAACCGCTGACCTTAAGGTTCGCAGCCCGATTCGTAACCACTACGCTACCAGAGCTCCTTAGGTCAGATATTTTGAATTGGCCATGCACATGGTTTACTACACTGGGAACACCAAACGGAATAGGAATGGCGTCACATTCATGGTCAAAAAGAACACTGCAAGATTTGTCTCGAAGTCCACCACTGTCTGTGATAGGTCCTGGTATGGCTAAGCACTGAACTGCTACCCGAAAGGTCCGTGACTCTAATCCACCAGACACACCTTGGAAACCCTATACAGGGTCTCTGTGAGTCAGAAATGACTCTACCGCCACTTAGCAACAATAAAAAGGAAGATTAATTAATAATAATATTCACACGTACAAATCAAACACTAAAGCTAGTGATGAAGAAATTGAAGAATTCTATCAAATTATCCTGTTTGAAACTGGTCAAACATGCAATCAAGATGTATTGATAATTACTGGTGACTGGAAGGTGAAAGTTGGAACCAAAGAGGAGGGATCCATAATTGGAAAATGTGGCTTTGGTGAGAGAAACGATGCTGGAGATGGCATGACAGAGTGGTACAAGACGAGCACCTTCTTCATTGTGAATACCTTTTTTCAACAACATAATGGGATGAACAGGAATCAACGACTACATCTGTGGGAAGAGAATGGAGAAGCTCAAATTCATCAGCCAAAAAACAACTAGGAACAACTGTGGACCAGATCATCAACTGCTTATAGGCAAGTTCAGGCTGAAAGAGAAAACTAAAACAAATCCATGAGATCCTGGTTATGACCTTGACTATATCCCACCCACATTTAGAGACCATCTCAAGAAGAGAATTGATGCAGAAGATACTAATGATTAGAAACCCGAAGAGCATGAAATAGCATCAAGACCATCATTCAGGAAGAAAACAAACAATCATTAAGAAGAGGCTCTGAAACTGTAGACTAGCTAAAGCAACTGGAAGAAATGATGACGTCTAAGAGACGAACAAAACATTTTAAAGGGCAGCTTGAAAAGACAAAGTCAAATATAACGAGATGTGCGAAGACCTGGAGTTAGAACACCAAAAGAAAAGGACATGCTCAGCATTTCTCAAGCTAGAAGACCTGAAGTACAAATTCAACCTAGACTTGTAGTATTGAAGGATTCTGTGGGTCCTGGTGTGTGGTACTGAAGGATAAGCACTAGCCAGCTAACCACAAGGTTGGCAGTTCAAACCCACCAACTGCTCCTCAAAAAAATCCTCTACAGCATCTTTGTGAGTTGGAACCAACTGTACTGCACTTAACAACAGTAACATGGACAAAATATTGAATGATGCATTAAAAGAAGATGTAAGGAAGGTATAGAATCACTGTACCGTTTCAAGATGTAATATATGATCAAGAACCAACAGTACCAAGAACCAAGCTGCTCTGAAGCACTGGTGAAAAACGAGGCTCTGGGAATTGACAAAATACAAATGGAAATATTTCAACAAACGGTTGCCACACTGGAGGTGTTCACTCATCTATGCCAAGAAATGGAAGACAGCTACCTGGCCAACCAATTTGAAGAGATCCATATTTGTACCCATTCCAAAGGTGACCCAATGGAATGTGGAACCCATCAAACAATATCATTAGCAGGCCATGCAAGTAAAATTTTGCTGAAGTTAATATTTTAAAAGTTGTAGCCATACATTGACCATGTTGTTGTTGTTGGTCAGTGCTGTTGAGTTGGTTCTGACTCATAGCGACCCTATATAGGGTTTCTGAGGAGTGACTGGTGAGTTTGAACTGCCAACCTTGGAGTCTAGTGCATTAGCCCCAGCGCCTTCCAGAAATTCAAGCCAGATCAAAGGATATCATTACTGACATCAGTTGGATCTTGGCTAAAAGCAGAGAATACCAGAAAGATGTTTACTTGTGCTTTATAGTCTATGCAAAGGCATTTGACTGTGAGGCTCATGACAAGCTAAGGAGAGCATTGTGAAAAATGGGTATTCCAGAATACTAAATTGTGATCATGAGGAACCTGTACATAGACCAAAAGGGAGTCATTTAAACAGAACAAGCGACTAAGGAATGGTTTAAAATCAAGAAAGGTGTATGTTAGGGTTGTATGGTTTCACCATACTTATTTAATCTGTATGCTGAGAAAATAGCTGAAGTTGGATTATTAGAGGAAGAACATGGCATCAGAAGAAGACTCATTAACAACTTGTGATATGCAGGTGATACTTGCTGAAAGTAAAGACTTACAATGTTTACTGATGAAGATCAAAGATCACAGCTTTCAGTTGCCCCTCAATATACAGAAAACAAATATCCTCACAACTAGACCAACTAATATGATCAATGGAGAAAAGACTGAAGTTGTCAGGACTTCATTTTGTTTGGATCTACAATCAACACTCACGGAAGCAGCAGTCAAGAAATCAAGTGATGCATTGCATTAGGCAAATCTGCTGCACGAGATCACTTTAAAGTGTTAAAGATTAAAGATGTCACTTTGAAGACTAAGGTGTGCCTGACCCAAGCCATGATACTTTCAATCACCTCATGTGCATGTTTATGTTGAACAATAAAGAGGACAGACTGGAGAAAAATCGATGCCTTTGAATTACGGTGTTGGTGAAGAACACGGACAGTACCGGGGACTGCCAGAAGAACAAACAAATCTGTCTTGGAGGAAGGATAGCCCGAATGCTGCTTAGGAACGAGAATGGAGAAACGTCATCTCTAGTTCTTTGGACATGTGGTCAGGAGGAAGCAGTCCCTAGAGACGGATGTCCTGCTTGGTAAAGTGGAGGGTCAATGAACAAGAGGACCCTCAATGAGATGGACTGACACAGCGACGGCAACAATGGGCTGAAACCCAACAATTGTGAGGAAGGCACAGGACCGGGCAGTGTTTTGTTCTTGTGTGCACAGTGTTGGAACTGACTCAATAGCATCTAACAACAACAAAGATCAGACGGAAAGGACCCTTGATGTCACAGTGGGTTAAGCACGGGGCTGCTAAACAAAAGGTCAGCAATTGGAGCCCACCAGTCATTCCATAGGAGACAGATGGGCAGTCTGTCCGTAAGGATTCCAGCCTTGGGGACCCTAAGGAGGTAGTTCTAGTCTGTCGTATAAGGTTGCGAGACTGAATCAAGTCAAAGGCAGTTGGTTGTTATTTATTTATTTTTAAATAGTTTAGATGGGTTGACAAGGTTCCACGGTGGGCAGACTGTGGGCAGCAGAGCCCCTCTCACAATGCAGTAGGAATACAGGTGTCCCTAGCCTCTTGGCGGCTGCTCAGGTGCCAAGAGATCAGTCTAAATGCATTTCATCTGCATTGGGCTCTGGATCTGAATTTCCACTGCACTGCGCAGTGGACCTGAATTTTCTCTGCATTTCCTCTGCACTGCACACTGGCCCTGCATTGCTTCTGATCAGTAGCTCCCCAGGCTGATGTGGGTAGATGGTCAGGAAGGTGCAGCGCTAATGGGTGCTCACAGCTCTAGGTGGAGGTGGAGATGTGGCAGGAGAGGGGTATGGGGCAGAGAGAGGCTTCCGGAGCTCACAGAGCCTGAAACAGCGTGACAGTGGGGAGGTGTGACTGCTTCTGATGTGGAGAAACAGGGGAGGACAAATGTCAGGCCAGGCTGGGCTGCAGACTCCTACAACAAGCATCAGCTGATTTCTTATGGGGTCTGAAGGGAGAGACTTGGGGTCTGTGGGTGGCAGCAACAGAGGACCACACCGTCGCTGCAGGCCACCTGGAGCATATTTTTTTGCTCGCATAACTTCTGGATTGCAAAAGCAAATACTAAAAGACATTTGCATTTTGCTCACCAGCAGCTCCTCGGAAACCCATACAGGGTGTCTATGAGTCGGAATCGACTCCACAGCACTTAACAATAACAACAAGGCCCCAAGAGACAAGTGGGAGAGAAAGGTAGATCAGCGAGGGGAACAGAATGAGGAAGCACGACTCACCATCTCCAGCTCCTTGTGGGCATCCAGTGCGGTACACTCGCGAGCTGACCGTTCCTTCACCCTCTTCAGGATGTTCTGAACACAGGGAAAGGCCGCGTTGATTTCTAGAACTTGGACCACCTCCCCTGTTCCTCTACAACTCTGCCTCCCTGCTGTATCAGTCCAAAGGGTCCCAAGGTTTCTGTGCCATACACACACAAGCAGTCCCACCCCTCTGGTGGAGAGAAGCAACAGAGCGCCTGGGCAGGTCCAGGGCCAAGCACCTTGCCTCACCAGTCTGTCAAATGATGACCGTGAGGTAGGGTCTTCCCTGAGGATTAACCACAGGGGCCATCATATCCTGCACTACCTCAAGCTAGAGTCTGGGACCTCCCAGGACTACGCAGACCTAACCAAAAGTAAAACCACGGGCTAGGCGGAGGTGGTGTCCAGCAGAGGGACGTCAGTAACCGCCAGAGCCAGCCCGCTCCTCAAGCACACAGAAGGTGTCTAGAGGATGCAGGGCTTTTCCTCTTGGCCACTCTGCATGGAGGGACACGAGGCCTGTCAGAATGACCCTGAAGCTTTGTTAAGTTCAGTCTTACTGATAAAAAATATTTTCTTCACTTTCAGAAAGAAAGAATGCTCAAAACTGCTGTCACCTTAAAAACTGCATGTTTTTGGGTTGTTTTTTTTGCAAGGATTTGCTCTTACAAACTTTTGAGTGGTTTCTCCCCAGTCATCCACACGTGCCTACACTATACAATGTGTTCCTGTCAGGTGTTGGGATCTGTGCGTCCCTTCCCCCGGCTGAGGAGGGCCATTCTCACTCAGCTGACGTGTGCCCATTTCTCAGATGACTCCTCGTCCCTCCCCACCACATAACCGGCCACCTGTCATCCACCTTCCTGTCAGCCAAGCCTCAGCTTCAGTGCCACACATCTTTCCGGAATCCCCACCCAGTGGGGTCAGTGGTCAGCCCACTGTTCGCCCCTCCCTCCCCTACCCACGGTCCTCAGTCAGGACCATGTCCTGCTGTGTGTGGTCAGAATGTGGCTCCGAGTCCTCACTGCCCCGGAACATGCTTGGCACACAGTTGGAGCTTAATTATGACTTGCTGAATAAATAGACTTCCTAGAAAGCTAATTAAAAAGAGAACAGAGCCAAACGTGGCATGTGTCAGAGTAGAACTGTGCGCCACGGGGGTTTCAGCAGCTAAGTTTTAGGAAGTAAATCCCCAAGTCTTTCTCCTAAGGTGTTTCTGGGTGAACTTGCACCTCCAGCCTTTTGGTGACCAGTCAAGTGCTTGACCAGGATTCCAGAGGCCCGGAGTGATCCAGTAAGCTGAAAAGTGCCGAATCTGTGTGAGGGCGGCAGGGCAGTACCTGCACCAGCAGCTTGAGGCGGGTGATGCGTTGGAAGGGCAGGATGAGGAAGGAGGAGAAAGGTAGCCCCTTGCACTTGGGGTCCAGCTCCAGCTGTGCGATCAGCTCCCGAAAAGCCGCCTTCTCCTGGCTGGGGACACACACAGGAGTAGGTCTTTGGCTCGTGGGAGGCATGAGTTAGAGACGCTTCCTTTCCCAAAGCCACCTCTCCACGGACAGCCTCCCAACATCCCTCCTAGGAACCAGACAACCCAGGAGCCCAGAAAACACATCTGCTTCTGTCTTGTATTATTATTATTTTAAATGAAAAACAAAGTGTTGGTATACAAGTCTAATCACAGTCCTGGATTTCCATGCCTGGCCCATGAAGATGTCGCAAACTAGGTTGTGTGTAGGAGGGCAGGAATCTGTTGTGTGTCCAGGGGTATGACTCAGACCCTTGAGTCATTATAAATACAGCAGGAAACCATGGCAAGGGAAATCCATGGGTGGCAGGAACAATGGACAGTTAGAGACAGTGGCCAGGCAAACACCGTGGCTACTTTCAGAGGGGTGGATGGTCCGATGGGCACGAAAGGTTGTGGGAGGGTCTACAGAGATGACAAGGGCCGACTATGTCTGGAGCTGAGTCTCAGGCTCTGAGATGTACATGATTGGGGAAAAGTCCCTCTGTCTCTGAAGTCCAGATATTCAGTCCCACCAGAAACGAGAGCCAGCACACGCATGCATATTCTGGGAGCTACAATGTATCATTGCTGCCCTGTAGGTCCTTGTGGGTATTATGGTTGTCTTGACCTAAAGTATTTACTCTTTGTCCTGTGATTGTTAATGTTGTTAGGTGCCATCGAGTCGGTACTGACTCATAGTGACCTTATGCACAGCAGAACGAAACACTGCCCGATCCTAGGCCAACGTCACTACTGTTGCCACACTTGAGTCCATCCATGCTGCCACTTGGCCAATCCATCTCATTGGGGGGTCTTCCTCTTTTCCTCTGACCCTCCACCTTACCAAATATGATATCCTTCTCCAGCGACTGCTCCCTCCTGACAATTTGTCCAAGGTATGAGAGACGAAGTTTGGCCATCTTGGCCTCTAAGGAGCACTCTGGCTGCACTTCTTCCAAAATGGATCTATTGGTTTTTTTGGCAGCCCATGGCATTTTCAATATTCTCCTCCAACACCATAACTCAAAAGTTTCAGTTCTTCTACAGTCTTCCTTATTCACTGTCCAGCTTTTGCATGCATATGAGGTTACTGAAAATACCAAGGCTTGGGTCAGGTGCACCTTAGTCTTCAAGCTGTCATCTTTGCTCTTCAACACTTTAAAAAGTTCCTGTGCAGCAGATTTGATCTCTTGATTGCTGTTTCCGTGAGTGTTGATAGTTGATCCAAGAAGAATGAAGTCCTTGACAACTTCAACCTTTTCTCCACTGGTAAGAATGTTGTTTATTGGTCCAGTGGTGAGGATTTTTGTTTTCTTTACATTGAGATGTAATCCATACTGAAGGCTGTGCTCTTTGATCTTCATTAGTAAATGTTTTAAATCCTCTTCACTTTCAGCAAGCAAGTCTGCATATTGCAGGCTATTAATGAGTCTTCCTCCAATTCTGATGCCACATTTTTCTTCATAGATCCAGATTCTCGGATTATATGCTTAGCATACAGGTTGAATAAGTATGGTGAAAGAATACAACCTTGTCACACACCTTTCTTAATTTTAAACCATTCAGGGTTCCCATGTTCTGTTCGAACAACTGCCTCTTGGTCCAGGTACAGATTCTTCATGAGCACAATTAAGTGTTCCGGAATACTCTTACTTTGCAGTGTTGTCCATAGCTTGTCATGATTCACACAATCGAAAGCCTTTGCGTAGTCAATAAAGCACAGGTAAACATCTTCCTGATGTTCTCTGCTTTCAGTCAATATCCACTGGATATCAGCAATGATATCCTTTATTCCATGACCTCTTCTGAATCCGGCTTGAACCTCTGGAAGTTCTCTGTCAATGTATGATTGTAGCTGTTTCTGTATTACCTTTTGCAAAACTTTACTCACATGAAATATCAAAGAGATTGTCCCATGATTTCCGCGTTCTGTTGGGTTACTTCTCTTTGGAATGGGCACAAATATGGATCTCTTCCAATCAGTCAGCCAGATAGTTGTCTTCCAAATGTCTTGGCAGAAATGAGTGAGTGCCTCATGTGCCACCTCACTTTCTTGAAAGATTTCAATTTTTATTCCATCAATTCCCGGTGCCTTGTTCTTTGCCAATTCCTTCAATGCACCTTGGACTTCCTCCTTTAATATCATTGGCTCTTGATCGTATGCTACCTCTTGAAATGGTTGAACATTAACCATTTCCTTTTGGTACAGTGACTCTGTGTATTCCTTCCATCTTCTCTTGATGCTTTCTGCATCATTCAATAATGTCCTGGGGTGGTCATTTCTAAACTAAAGACAAAACAACCCAAAAAGCAACCCCACAATAGTTGTTGGCGAGTTGATTCCATCCCATGATGACCCCCAGTGGTACAGGGTTTCTCAGCTGTAATCGTTGTAGCCACAGATCTCCAGGTCTTGCTTCTGTGCTACCCATGAGTGGGTTCAAACACGTAGTACTTGTGCGACCAGACTTCCCCAGGTCGTCTCTTGTCGTGAAGTGCTGTCGAGTTGGTTCTGACCCGTAGCAACCCTGTATAGGGTTTCCGAGGAGTGGCTGGTGAGCCTGAACCACCGACCTTGTGTTTCAAACCGACTTTTTAGTCTAGCGCATTAACCCGCAGCGCCAAACCAGGTAATCTCTAGACTCTTGGAATTCCTGCTGGGACCGGAGTCTTTGTTATTTACAGAGTGGCTCCAGATCAGACCTATCTGATAGGTGACTCCTGAGTTGGCCTAGGATCGGGCAGTGTTTCATTCTGTTGTGCATAGGGTCGCTATGAGTCGGTGCTGACTCGATGGCACCTAACAACAACAACAAAGGTTGATGTCGAGGCAGACCCCAGGTTACAAAGCAGATCAGTACTGTCTGTGTGGGTTAAGTTAGAGCGAGTACTGAGTGTATAAGCCTCTACTTCAGCCTGACTTTAGCGCAGGACAAGGCTTGCAGCCTCCTCAGCGATTTAAAAGGTGCCTCGGCAGAGCTAAGTGAAGATGACTGTGATGAAGAACTTGGGAGCGGGCATCAGTTCAAAGGTGTGCAAGTGAGGACAGATTTACACAATATTCAAGGGCATGTAGGAGTTGCCAACAGTGGGGCCTCCATCACCTGAGGAGTTACTGCAATAACTCTAGTTCTATGAGTGCAAGTCCACAGGCTGGAAGTGAGGGGCTCTGGGTCACCCTCAAATAAGTAGCCAGCAGGTCAGAACTCAGGGTGTGGTGGGGACTCCCAAGCTCATGGTTCACATCTGAGGTTGTGGGTACACTTGGCAATGCTCTGGAGGCCTGTGCCCTTTTACCTTGTGAACTCTGACCTCACTTCTGGTGGCTGGTGTCAGAACCAAATTAGACTGGATGGGTGTCTTTCAGTCTCATAACCAGCATTCTGACTCCCTTGCATTCCCATGTTCAAGAAACAGAAGGTCACCAGGAGCCCCAAATACTCAAGCGGAGAACTTCCACAATTAACCCGCGGGCTTGGTTCAAACCCAACGGAGCATAAGGGTTGGGCTGTTACTACTCAGAAAGTCAAGAACAGATGACTGGGTGAACCGAACTGCTGTCGTGTAAACATGCCCACAAAGGAGGCCAATTCGGAAGAGACGGTCTCATCAGCTGAGACTCCAGAGCATGTTTAGCAAATGGGAAGCTGAGCACTCAGCTCTAGGGATTTGCTGTGTGACCACCCAAAGACACCTCCCCACCTTGTTTTTAGCTCAAACATTTCTTGTTTCTTGAGCCCTTCATTGTCCGCTTGACCTCAAACACAATTTTCTAAACCTCGCAGAATTCTGCCTGGCAGTTTTGACCCCAGTCCAACAGGGTGGGGGTGCTATGAGCTGGCTCTCTTGGGTTCAAGTTGAGTTCATGTTTCTTCAGTGGCCCAGATCAACTTGCAAGAGACCCACCGAGTCCCACCCTGCCTGCTGGTACACTCTGGACAGCGGCCTCACAGCCCCACAAAGCACCGTCTGACGGAGTACTCACAGCAATTGCTTGTATGTTCTCTCCTGGTAGGTCTGGTTGCTGACGTAGGTGATGTAGACAGAGAAGTGGTCTGCCGCGTAGCGGTACACAATGTCGCACACGTCAGAGATGACGATGTTCTCCTCCATCCGGCGTTCCAGTTCCAGTAGGAACCTGTAGGGGGCGCTGTTTGACTGATGGGTCCCTGAGTGGAGAGACTGAGACATCTGGATGGGTAGCACATGGGCAGGGTGCCCTCAACCAGCACACTCTCCATGAGACCCTTGGGGACTGAGTGCTGATGGGGTACCGTCAGACCTCGCTTTAGCCTGCTCTGCTGTCTTGCACTCTGCAGACATTGAGGTGCGAGTTTTTTGTTACAAGTGGAAGGCCTGGGGCATCCCTGTATTGAGCAAGTCTATCGGTGTCATTTCAGCGGCCTGTGCTCACTTCAGTCTCTGGGTCATTTTATTGTCCTTCTCAAAGTATTTCAGACTTTGTCACAATGCTATGGCACACCTAAGAAGCCCTGGACAAGCACTGGACTTCCAACTGCAAGGCTGGTTGCCCAAACCCACCAGCAGCTCTGAGGGAGAAAGATGAGGCTTTGTATTCTCGTAAAGATTTGTCGTTAAGTGCCTTCGAGTAGGTTCTGACTCCTGGCACCCACGGAACGGTTGGTGGGTATGAACTGCTGACCTTGCAGTTAGCAGTTCAGTATTTACCCTATAGCATCATACCAGGACTGCCTCAGAAACCCTATCCAGGGTGGCTGTGAGTCGGAGGGTAAGTTGTACACTTAGACTATTTGTTGTTAATTGCTTTGAGTGGGTTCTGACTCACAGTGATCCTGCCGAGGGTTTACGAGAACGATTGGTGAGTTTACACTGACTTTGTGGCTGACAGTCCAGTGCTTATCCTGTAATGCTATAGCAGCACTCAAACGGACTATGTGGTGGTTAATTGCTGTTGAGTCAGTTCTGACCCACAGCAACCTGGTATAGGGTTTCCAAAGAGTGGCTGGTGAGCCTGAACTGCTGAGGTGGTCGTTCAAAGGACCCTGCAGTCCAGTGCATTAACCTGTGTTGTGAAGCGCCGTCAAGTCGATTCTGACCCATAGCGACCCTGTATAGGGTTTCCAAGGAGCCGCTGGTGAGCTTGAACCACCGACCTTGCAGCTCAAGCGACTTTGCAGTCTGCTGCATTAGCCCACAGCGCCACACCAGGACTCCATTAACACCATTAACCTGTAGTTGCCGTCAATTCGATTTTGACTCACGGTGCCCTGGCATGCGCAGAGCAAAACTACTTTGGGGGCTTTCAAAGCTTTTTGAGAGCAGACAGATCACCAGGTCTTACTTCGGAGGGTCCTCTGGGTGGATTTGAGCCACTAACCTTTTGGTTAATAGTCTAGTACTTAACCATGTGAGCCACCTAGGAACTCCCTAGATAACAGCATTCCAACCAAAGCAGCAAACACACAACAAATGAACCCATGGCGTTAACCTCGATTCCGACTCACATTTACTCTGGAGGCCAGAGTAGAACTCTTCCAGAAAGCTTCTAAGGTGATCAATACTTATGAAGCAGCTGGTGGGTTCGAACTGATAAGACTTTCAGTTAGCAGTTGGCCTTAACCTGTTGCACCACCGGAGCCCTTATAATAACCTCAGGAGTGTTACACAGAGAGGCCTTATCTCTTGGACACACTGATGTGTTCACAGAGGCAGAGCAATGACAACACATCTGAGCGTGCGGGTGAGGGAAGCCAGCCTGGTACTCAAAGGCTCCATGGGTCTCCCTACTTTGGCATGTTTGCAGTTTTCTATGGTAAATTCATGCTTAGACAGAAGAATGCCCAGCCCTGTGGGGGTCAGTCTTCGGTGCTGCTGAAGTAGCAGAGGTGGGGATGATCGTGGATCATTTTCCTCACCCTCACTGAGCCCACCTGCAGGGCTGCCAACTTAAAGATGAGTGGTCAGCTTGTGGAGGGTCTACCAAAAGTAAGGGGCCTTAGAACCCACTTGGGTGCCAAGGGGAGTGAGCAGCTCCCAGAGCCAGAGCACCACAGGCGGGGTGTCGAGCGCCCAGGTTATGTTCTAGCCCACTGTGGGGTAAACCCGCAGACCCACACATCACTGTTCACCACCGTGACAGTAGTTGTTGTTGTTGTTGTTAGGTGCCATCGAGATGGTACCAACTCATAGTGACCCTATGCACAATAGAACGAAACACTGCCCTATCCTGGGCCAGCCTCACAATTGTTGCCACACTTGAGTTTTCTATGGTAGATGCTGCCACTTGGCCAATCCATCTTACTGGGGTCTTCTTCTTTTTCCCTGACCCTCCACCTTACCAAATATGGTATCCTTCTCCAGTGATTGGTCCCTCCTGACAATATATCTGAAGTATGAGAGACGAAGTTTGGCCATCTTGGCCTCCGAGGAGCACTCTGACTGCACTTCATCCAAAACACATCTGTTGATTCTTTTGGGAGCCCATGGCACTTTCAATATTCTCCTCCATAACTCAAAAACATCAATTCTTCTGCGGTCTTCCTTATTTACTGTCCAGCTTTCACATGCATATGAGGTTATTGAAAATACCATGGCTTGGGTTAGGTGCACCTTAGTCCTCAAGCTGACATCTTTGCTTTTCAACACTTGAAAAAGGTCTTGTGCAGCAGAGTTGCCTAATGCAATACATCGTTTGATTTCTTGACTGCTGCTTCCATGAGTGTTGATGGTTGATCGAAGAAGAATGAAGTCCTTGACAACTTCAATCATTTCTCCATTGATAAGAATGTTGTTTATTGGTCCAGTGATGAGGATTTTTGTTTTCTTTACATTGGGATGCAATACATACACCGAAGACTGTGGTCTTTGATCTTCACCAGTAAGTATTTTAAGTCCTCTTCACTTTCAGCGAGCTAGGTTGTATCATCTGCATATCGCAGGTTGTTAATGAGTCTTCCTCCAATCCTGATGCCACGTTTTTCTTCATAGAACCCAGCTTCTCAGATT